TGTGTGTGTGTGTGTGTGTGTGTGTGTGTGTGTGTGTGTGTGTTATTAAAGCTTAATTAGATGTGCTTCATTCTCTCTGTTCCATCTCAGAGGATCTTTGATCCAAACATATATTTATCTAATCTCTTTAGAAGCACAAATAAAACGAACTACATCGCATGCCACGACAAACGCACACACGGAGGTTCGACCTGCTGGATCTTGTTCATAGTTTAATTAAGATCTCTGTCTGTTATTGTGAGACATACCTGAGAGTCTGATAGTCATATGTCCTCCGTCTGCGTACAGTATGTTTGTGTTGACAAGAGAAAAAAGAGATTTCAACGTTGTGTTTATATCTCCCTTCATTGCATAAACAAACATCGATTCCTTATTTTGGTGCAAGTGCCGATAAGACTTAGATGTCAAATGTAAAATAATATCAAACTCGAACAATGGTTGGTGTCTGTAAGTGTTTTTTGACTATCCCTGGAAGCTTTAATTGCAACAAAGCATACTCGATAGAGAAGCAATGGAAATACCCAAATGAAACATCTTTGTGTTTCCTGCTGTCTCGTGTCAAAATCTGAGGAAAACTTCAATCCGTCCATTTTCTTCCATTTATGTAATTCAGCTGTCATAGCACCAAAGCTAAGGTAGCCCCAGGACAGGTCACCCGTCTGTCACTGTGCTTAGGAAAACATTTTAATGTAATTTATGAGAAACGTAACGCTCACAAACGTGCATGTTAATAATAAAAAACGTAGTGTATTATGATGCCGTGATCACAGCAGAAGAAGCATACTCGAGTAAAGCACGTTTCTGAAATTTCAGGCACGTTCAGGGAAAAAAGCAGAGAAACTCCAAATATTAAAGCAGCGCGACTTAAACTTTGTTAAAAGAGTTCTGGTTGGTAGGGGAGACCGGGGATAGTAGTAACATTTTTCACATTTCTGTCTGTAAATTGGAGCTCTTTTAACCTCTGGGGGGTCCTAGAAAAATGCATACACTATTGGGCTTAGAGCCACAAATCGACCACGCCATGAAAAGTGCTATAAAATATCTATATATTAATATTTTTTCCACTTTAAATTAGCCAATCTTTTAGACCTACTTCTCCTTGAAATATTCATATCAAGTTTTAATTACATTTCGCGGATTTTAACCCTTTATATCCCGGTTTCGTCACATGAGCGCACTGTTTTTTTAGCCCCAAAAACAAAGAAATCTAATATTTCCCAAAAGATACAATTCCAAGGCCCGGACTCCCGAGTACCACCAACATTCGGAAGATGGCCCATTATTTGGTTGTAATGACCGTGGAATGGGAAATAGCGTTTATAATGGGTTTCAA